TGTGAGTGCGAACATTTGTCTTTTCCTCCTGCTGCGATTCACAATGTGAAAGCATCCAAATCCGATGCAATAGTCAAGCATGAGCCCTAGATTTGACAGGTGCGATCCTCAAGGAACTATAAGAGAAGCATCGTACCTGGCGGCGACACTTCGCTTGAGTAGTGCTATCTCCAGACTAGTTTGGATCACATAGAAGGTATCAAAATAGCACTTTATACATAGTTCAACAATCTTAAGTATTAACGAGCTGTTTTTGTCTTCACTTGCGGAGCCTCGCATGCTAGAACAAGATGAAAAGTTCTCTAAATTACTGCCGATGATGTTATGGAAAGTCATTTGAGGTTTTTCGCTTCACTCATGTATATATATTTTATACGCTTGGCTCTCCAGACGTAGCGCTAGCGTAAAACCAAAGTATCGAATGGGATAGCGATGTTCTATGATCTTGCGCACCACAATAGCCATAGTGTCAATACGACTATGTAGCTTAGATATAAAGCTCCTGGGCGTATTCAAAACATCTCTGGCTAATTTTTAGAGTGATGGGAGCCTTGTAGTGTTGCTTGGACAGAGGCGTACTACTTTTAGCGTTAGATGAAGCACTATGTGCATTAAGCGTGTTGGTGACCGTGTGACGGTAATCTATTGCTGGCAAGCAGATGCAGGTGCTGACAAGAAACCTGGGTAAGTTATCTACAAAAGCTATAAGCTTATGTGATGTGTGCGAAGACTACTAGTATTTCGAAGGCAAGGTACCTCGCTTATCTTCGAGTGCGAACAGTTTTCCGGGCCTTAGGGGTGAATGTTACTAACTAGTTAACTAATGATTTTGCAATGTTCTGCATGAGCTTAATTGAATGTGCTTTCATGATAGCCAGAAGCGATGTGGTAGACTGAGATGCTTCTGCTACGGCTTCCAGTACGGCTGCTGGTAGGCTTGATTAGCAGCCTAAAATTAGCTGCCACTAAAACATCCGTACGTAAGTACAATCCTACTCTCCGCCTCATGCAGGTTTTTATCCCTATCCCTCTATAATTGTGCTCTTCGAGGGTCAAGTTCGCTCTTGTCTGATATTGGGAATGCTGGAGTGAGACAGGTGCTTGCAAGAAGGTGGTCGCAATGTGGGGTTATTGGTCATCTTGATCGCAATGTGGTGGGGTGACCCCCACATCGGATCCACCTAACTAGTAAGTAGCTTTCACGCTTACTATGCTTACTACTATACTAGCCCCGCTCCACCCAGATCGGGACAGTCACCTGATCATGTCATCATGCAACAAGAATATAACCACCAGCAATGTGAAACTCACAGTGTAACTGGCACCTTGTCAATATATTTAATAAGTAATCGTTTGCTTGATGCTCGATGCTGCATACAAACAGTTTAGGAGATCAGCATACGTATCCGCACCGCCGGGACACAATAAGCCATCTTCACGGATCGTTCTGCTATAGTCTCCGAGAAAGCATCTCTTTTCTCTTATAAGTGAGCGCAAAAATGCTCTTACGACCACTTTTTCATTTGCCTTTCTCGGCTGCAGCATTTTCTTGGGTTGTCCGCTCCATTTCTGTCTTCTCCAGGTCCCCATAGCTTACTACTTAATTTTGGCCTTTACTACCTTGTAAGACCGGTGAGCGTGTCTTCCTTTGCTTCTCACTATCCTTGTTGATGTTGAACAAAAGACGGTTATGTCCTTGAAGGAGGATTCGGCTAGCTTTAGCGATCTTTGGGGCTCTTACAAGCTTTTGGACTCGCCTACTTACATTCCTTTTTTCTTTTTTGACTGGTTAATTTGATAAGATATGAATCCAAAGTCATCACAGACTGAGTGATTGTATCAAAGCAGCGTGCAGATAGGCACGGTTGTGTCAGGATCAATTGCAGGTTTTTTGCTTGTAAATATTCGCCATAAGCATATAAGCTAACTACTTACCTAAGTTAGTTAGTTGGAAGATCACTCGCGACTCACACTAATGCGAAGTCGACATGTAAGCATGAACAATAGCGGAAATTAGGGTACGCGCAGCATTGCAAATGTCTAATCAGGACTCTACTCGTACTCGTATAGATACTCCGGAACTCAGAGCATAGGTCAAAGAGCGTCATTCATGCCCATCTAAAAATGGCTCTGGCACTGAATTCACTTTGGCCACTTGTTCGCATTACCGGCGTTATATCCCCACTTTGTCTTATTGCATACTTTTGTCTTCGGGTATACTTCATTGCCAGCAGACATACACAAAGCGAGCCCGGTTTGGGTCTAGCGTGGTTTTTTCTCATTGTCGAATTGTTCCAATACATACCGACCATTCTCCTCTATTGCAACCGCATACTAGTGTCTCAGCATCCGCAGCGAAGCAAACTTTACTTTGAAGGGGACAGTACCCCAGTAGTATCTGTACTAATAACAGCGTGTGGAGAGGACCTCGGTACCATTCTCAACGTAGTGAAAGCTGCATGTGAGACAGACTGGCCTGCCAGCTGTCTAAACGTCATCTTGTGCGACGATGGCCAATCTCAAGAGTTGAAAAATGAGATGGCGCGTGTGCGAAAAAGATATTCATTCGCATATTACACTAGCAGGGAATCATCACAGGGTTATGTGAGTAAATCCTTTACGAACATTCTGGATAGGCCTTTTGTCTTGTTGTACTAAAGGAAACGCAAAAGAAAGCAGGAAATTTGAATCATGGACTGCAGTACAGTGGAAACCTTGGGGTTCCAGCTTCGGAGTTCGTTGCTGGTCTGGACGTCGACATGATAGTGAAGCCAGGATGGCTTCGAGCATTGATGCCGCATATACTTTCTGACCCTAAAATGGGCATGGTATGCCCTCCACAGTACTTCTGGAACATACCGAGGAACGATACCCTGCGGCAGGATCTAGATTACTTCTACGCCGTAACGGAGCTTGTTCACGAGGGACTTGGTGCAGCAGACTGTGTAGGCTCCGGATACCTAGCACGTAGGGAAGCATTGGAAAAAATTTGCGGATTCCCTATATTCTCAATTAGTGAGGATACTGCATGTAGCTCTTTGCTGCTAGGAAAAGGGTGGTCCGTAGCGTATGTTGATGAGGTCCTACAGTGCGGGGAGATGCCTGAGACATTGGGTGGGCATATCAAGCAGCGAACACGATGGGTGAGTGGGAGACTTATGATCTGAGTCCTCGTTTGCTAACATTTTAAAAAGACCATTGGCAATATTCAAACCGCATTCAAGGTATGTATATATCGTGGGCAACGTCTGATGCCGTTATTTCAAGACAGAACACTTAAGTTTCAGTAGATCAATTTCCGCCTCTGGGGCCAAAGAGTCGAACATTGCACTGCGCGTCAACGCCTCGCCGGATTTGTCTTTGGCGCAGGCTCTCTTGTTAATAGCGCCCTAACATGGTTGGGTTTCATCGGCAGCCCCCTCGCCCTGCTAGCCGGGTACCCTTTCGTCGTTTACAATGAGCGCTGGCAACTAGTTTGGCTCTTACGGCTTGTTGGCTTTTGGATATTTTCTGATACAGCGCACAAAGCGAGCATGGCCCTGTTTGTTGGTTACAGAGATGCTATGCGCTGGGACCAAGCGGATGTTTGGCTTGTACCGTATTACACGCTCGCGTTTCTGCGAGGCTTCATTCTGCCGTCCTGGTTAGGTGGGACGAAGCCTGGTTTTGTGCCTAGTGGAAGTCTGGCTGCGAAAATCGAAGATCGGCACCCTAATGCCCCGAGCCTCATGGTACGTGTCCATGCACTGATATTGCATCAGAAGGTTTGGATGCATGTGCTCTACATTATAGCTTGTATCCTCGGTTTCTCGCTCAATCTTGTCCGCGGCCTTGATCGAAATGTTCACATTGGTACGGCTTATTCGACAGACCCAGTATCATCTCATCGCAGTCCGTGGGTGTTTCTGCTGACAACGATTGGTTGGCCTCCAATGTGGTGGCTGGGGCAGCTGGTAAGCTGCTGGATTCCAGTGAGCTATGTTTTGTGGCCGCCTGTACAAGTTACTGCAGAAGAAGCATTGGAGAAAGGCAATGAGCACGGCATAAGATACCCAAAAGAAGAATATTCACGCCCTAGGAGGACTGTATATGGGCGATTAAGTGACCATTTCACCATGGTTATACTTTTGTACACAATGGTGGCGTTTGCTGGGTCTTTCTACCTATAGAATTCTCCGCATATTAACAGTAGTCGGCTCTATAACCAGAAGACATGCCTTGGAGCTTTAGCTTCATACTACGGCCAGTCCCTAGGGGACTGGCGAGAAAACGAGTCAAAGGTTCAGCTTTCAACAGCAGCCGCCAGGGGCAAAGCATGGGGTCACAGGTGCGTCCTGAATGATATATCAACTGAGTGATTTAGAGAAGGCGGAGTAAACGGCAATCGAGTAGATGATGCTTGTGAAGAAAGCGTTAGCAATTTACAATCAACACCAAACTGTTCAAAAAGGGCGCACATTTACGTAGAGCAAAAACGTCAAGCTACATTCCCAGCCGGGTTATAATCTTGATGCAGACCACGATTGATTAGAACACGGAGAGATAAGCAATGGCAAGCATAGCGTAATTGGTAAGTATTATGCATCCTGGTCATCAGCGCCTCCGGTGGAAGAGACGAGTCCGAGTGGCGCAGCAAATTGCAACAATAGAACACAATAGCTTAAGAAAACCGCGAAGTCTTATGACCATATTGCAGGGGAGATGGTTATCTTCGGAATGAGGTTTGCCTACGATGCCAATCTCAGGATAACCCTATTTAGATTACGATGACTAATATTCATCTTTGAGACAGGAGATACTGGAGATGATGAATGGATGCTTGAAGACTTTCGTCGTTTTCGCTCTTACGAGGCCAGGCCCTCCCCCTATACCTGCTGCTATCACAAGCTCGTTTCGTAGGCACCTAAAAGACTCGACAGCAACTAGCTGCCCTAGCATATGCGCATGATGGTGCACTGCATGGCCTGACCCGCTTTGTTTACCAAGCACTCACAAACAATGCCAACATGTGTACAGGTAATTAGCGATGCAATCTCACTTTCGCCTCACCGCTGGGTCCTAGCTAAGGGCTATCGCACTTCAACCAAGCAGATAAGAGTTTCAGACGCATGCAAGCCCAGGATCGAGAGCGGGTGGACACGAGATGCAGGCAAGGCTCGGAGCCACGACACAGCTCCGAGGGCACGGCAACAAGGGTACAGAGCGGCAAGATGAGTCAAAAGATGCTGCCTGAACCAGTATGATAGGCTAGCATAGGCTAGCAGTGCGCTATGAGGGCGAGGTACTGTGTGATTGTGTCCTTTCTGTCCTTCACTTGCGGCAGTGGGCAACACTGCCGGCTTACGAGGGGATGGGCAAAGCTGGTGGCCTAAACAAGGGCGGCGAGCTGAAGACGGCAGATTAAATCAACCGGAACGTGTTCAGGGGCGTTTCCCATCTTCTGCCAACGCTGTTCGCATCCGTGCTCTTTGTTTGGCTGGTGGTTGGTGGCACGTCATAAGCGAGGAGTTGTCGATCGATTGCACAAACATAAAACACTCGAGCATTCTTGGTGACCAGGTCAAGCCCGCGGAGCAGTGCGTGTATAATCCTGATCGATCTAGAAAGCCAGCCGCACTTAGCAGAAGTCAGTGCTAAAGCGCTCATACACTTGCTCGTCTTCATCCTCATTGTGTCGAAGGAGTTGCATCCAAGGAGTGATGCCGGCACTGGATGCATCAGCCGACGCAGCTTCCTTTGGTCGAATACTAGAAAGCATAATAGGGGCAATCGGCGTCATCAGGCAGAGCCCGCCAATATTGCCACAGGGCCAGATACGTTAAGTCAGCCGTGAACAGGATCCGGATGACAAGGTACGTGGCGCGTGCGTTGGGAGCTTGCATGCGCCTGGAGGACTGCACAAAATGACGGTTGCCTTCTTCGCTTCGCTATCGTGTTGCCTGGTGGGCGGGCCTCAAGGCTGCTTAGTTATAGCCTTGAGCTGGTCTGTCAGAATCAGAGGAGGGCACCCAGGACACTTTTGTAGCTTCGATATTAGCCAAATATGTCATCCATTCTTTGCCGATTCTTGTATCCTTCATAAAATCTGTCTCTATCATCACTAAAGCCACACCTCGCTTGGACAACATCCCCTCTGTCACTTCCCAGTCATCTTCTTTCTAGCCTTTACTGGCTTCGTTTCATCTGCAAGTTTCAGCCCACGCCCATCTAAGACGTGCGTATACCCTGCGCAAACCTGCTACATATTCGCCAGCTTAGCAGGCGAAGGTATCAGTCTGACGGTTGAACCTAGACATTTAGTCGCAAAATGACTGTTAAAGCTCACTATTCAACTCCTTGTAGGGGTTCATCTATTGCAGATACAGACAGGCTGCCTTTGCCTGATGTTGGAAATCTTCACCTGGATACTGTCAATGGTTCTCAAAACACCTATGCTTCTGGTCACGATGGATCCTATTCCTGGGCACTCGCTAAATATTTGGAGGACCGGGGAAATGCTCCGCAGTCCATAACTTTTGTCCAGCAATATGGTACGCAGTATCCTGAATTTCTGTTACAGCTGAAATTACCTCAAATATTACAAGAAAATCTTGTAAAGAAGGTCAATTCCATGTACTCTGGACTTGCTATGGTTGGAAATAAGTGTATACACGTTGATCGTGCCCAAGCAGCCGCTGTACATGATCCTAATACAAAGCTACCTTCTGATCACTGGCAGGCATTGATAGCTTTACACCGCACCCTCTTACATGAGCATCATGATTTTTTTCTAGC